TATTTGACCTGACAGTCATTCCAGCAGGGTATTAGGTAATCTGAATTGTTTTGTTTTAAAGGCTCCACATGATTGCTCCTTTAACCGACAAAGCTTGATAACAGAAGCTTCGTTTATCGAACCAACTGCAAATACGTGTAATAGGAATTATTCAACACCTGTCCACACAGATATCTGGAAAATTCTACTACCCCAACGACGACAAATAGGAGAGAACAAGGGAAACTATAGAACTCAAGTTCAGAAGTCATGTGATTATAATTGATGAAATGATTATGAACAATAAATTTTGTTCGAAACTGTGCCATCCAGTAAATAATACGGTTTCACTGTGTGATACATCTAGCAAATAAACTACCATTGTGCCCAAGTGTTACACATATATGAATGGGTTGAAGGAAAATATTTTTAATAAAAGATCAGTAAAAGTGAAACTGTGGTCTTAGAATAAATAAACGTCCGAACCGTAATTTCGCTATGAAAAGTAAGTCGTACAACTATTTTACCGTTCATGAAGAAAGTTTCATTTGAATAAAGTTGTCAGATACTGTATATATATACATATATATATATATGCATATATATATATATTACTTATCTACCTCTTTAAAACACAAAAATTAGTACAATATGAGTGTTGGAAGATGCGCTATTCTCTTTTATCATCTAATTCTTTTACCTTCTGAGGGGAACACACGGCTTCTTCAAGCATAAGCTTTAAAGCTTCAGTAGCGGCGGCGGTCGTGATGTTGTCTTTTAACAGACGGAGGTTACAAACTTCGTCCTAATCCAACCTTCTCCTTTTACCGAGCTTACTACTACCGGCTAAGCGAGGTTTAGGTGTGCGTCCGTCGGGAATAGAACCCGAGAAATTAGGTGTGGTTGAAGCATTTCGACACACTATACAGAGTAATTAAAAAAAACTAGTATTAGGTAAAGGATAACAATATATTTGGGAAGCAACAGAGAATAAAAGCAGATGAGCACATTTATGAAGAGTACTCAAGTGTTTATCTGTTCATATTACCACCTATAGAAAGAGAAGAAAACTGCGTTTAGGATTACCATTCATGACTCGTGTCTACGCCTTCCTAAGTCAATGAACGGAGATGATAACACTTACTTAAAGATAATCTCCAATCCGGACAGATATGATATTGGACCTTAGAATTACTTACACGGTAATACCACTTAATGAATGCAGTTTTATGATGACAAAGATGATTGAAGGTGTAATCACAACATATCTGTATATCAGAGAGACCATATTTCACAGAAAGGCCAAGACAAGATCAACTAAGTATTTTGAACCCGACAATTGACAGTCAAACTAACATGTGAGAGCGTAAGAGGTGGCTCAGGTCGGTGTATATTGCTCCCAGACTTTTGTCACGACTAGAAATGTTATTCGTGACACTGTCAAAACTCACATAACAATCCAGATAGAACAACTTCTCACTACTTCTAACGGTTAGTCTGCAATAGTTCACAGATGTAGAAGCCTCTTCCAAACTTTTATAACAAATTCGCATTTAGATGTTGCCTATATATATATATATATATATATATATATATAACCTTATTTATTTATTTTTTTATTTTGATTTACAGCTTGATTCCACACCGTATATTCAGTACAAGTGTGGAATTTTCAGCATGGATATCGGTAGCCCAAATTCAGGCCGACCATAGATATCGGGTGTGCGCCGGCAGAGGATCGAACCCCGGACCATGTGCATGGTCGGCGGGAGTCCTAACCACTGTACCGCCTTCGTTATGACAACAACACATTCAACACTAATTTAAATTATATACAAGAAAAACTGAATAACAGTTTGCGAAATTTCGTGTACCTCGTGGAGAACGAACAGCTGTAGCAAATGATACTCCAGACATAAATTTTGCCATCTTCTGACCAACTGAATCTATCTGTAGGGCAAGTTCACGTGTAGGAGCCATACAGAGACACTGGCAGTAAGGAACATCTGCGTTGACGCGTGATAGCATTGCAAGCAGAAATGTTGCTGTTTTTCCAGTTCCAGATTGAGATTGAGCTATCATATTTTGTGGGCTTGAAAAAAAGTTGTATAAATAAATTATAGCTGAAAAAGCTTCTTTAAAGTGTGAAATAAAAATATAGAAGGTGCATAATTTACATGTATACATAACCTATGCTGTGTTGACTAATTGCAAAATCGGAGTCAAGGTATTCAGAAAAAAACGGATACGCTCATTCTGCATTATGTACAGTATAATGAAATTAGCACAAGTGTTTTAACTTAATACAAAGCTTACGTATCACACAGACTGAAAGGTGAATTTAAACTTATATATATATCTGCCAAGATGTTTGAAAGACTTCTTAGAGGACTTGACACTATTGACTTGTCAGTTTGGAGTAGTGGGTGTAGAGGAAAGCAGACGTAACAGTACGCCACTCACTAAACTCTTTTCAACTGTGTTACCATCATCAAAACTTCTGGATTTATGCAGAAAGGTAAAAGTTACGCAATGATTAAAGAACCATTTGATGGAGATTTTCCATTGGCACACTGTGGGCACTAACAAAATCGCATTGTCTATGCGAAGGCTAGGATACTGGATAGACTCCCACCACATTAAAGAAGACAGCTGTCTTAAGGGACCATCACACCGAGTCTTTGACTTCAAGTCTGATCCTCAAGGCAGTGGATCAGTGTCACGACTTGCGTTCCCATCGTCTCCGGTAAGTAGAATGGGTCCAGACAAATGTTCGATCTGCTCGGATGGATTTTGGAGTCCATGTACACAAGTTTTCGAGTCAGGGTTTTCCAACTCCCCTAGATAGACTAATAGATTTACTAGTCTGTCTGCAAGCGCCATATGTTCGCATTCACAGTTTAACTGTCGTAGGAACACCTGAATTGACGCATGGAGTCGTTGAATTGGAGCTACGTGGCATAGGCTATAAACGTGTGGCCACATGAGAACATTTCGAGAGGACTAGTGAAGGTTACTGACCCTAAGTCTTATCATGTCATTAAGGAATTTTTTTTCTTTACTGAGAATAACTACAAGGAAGTGAAGTGTATCTGAAGGAAATCTTGATTTACAAGTAAACAGGTCAAGTTTTTTACACACTTCTGATTTCTTTACCTTTTGCTTGGTTTTAAAACGAAAACCTGGAGTCTTCCTCACATTCCCTAAGTCATCAAAATATCCTAGACTTATTCAAACTGAAGACACATTATCCATACTTTCATGCATAAGACTGCAAACTGAATCCCTTATCGATAGCTGAAATGAAATGATAGGTGTGCTTGCGTGTGTCAATGACCCAACCAGCCACACTGACCAAAACGAATGTCCCCATAAATAGCCCCATACCACAAGTGTTAATTAGGTAGAAGTTAGACTAAAAAGAAGCTGTCGTGATAGCATGAATTGCTCACACTGAGGGCGAAGTCGTACCGGTGGCCGGTAAGGATGTAACAGCTGCTGCTGCTGGATTCAACATAGAACTTGGCATCGAAGTGCAGCAGTTCCAGTTGCCACGTTCCAAATAGCACACAAAGGTAGACAAGAAAATGAGTGGAGAGAATCAATAGAGTTTTGACAAGTATAAGAGCGAAACAGAATGAGTAATGGTAGAAAGGAATATGAAAGATTACAGAGACTGAATACATCTGCGCTAGCCATTGACAACGATTTTGAGCCATGTCACCTAGTGTCTCCAGCCATTGATTCTTAGAGTCCCGAGGGTCCCAACCCGGAAGTCTGCATCTCCCTACCTGACTCAGTTTAACTGTCAAGGATTTCATGGACTGATGCCATGTTTTTGTTTGGCCACCACTTACTCTTTTCTAACCTGCACCTACCTATATCAGCTAGTAATGCCCGTCGAGGTGGGGGAGGCGATGGTTAGGCATGCGCAGCACGTGACCTAGCCATCTCAATCTATGTAACTTTATAGCCTCTTCGAGTGATTTTCCCTCTTTGCCCCAACACTCTACGCCTAACGTCAACATTACTTACCTTATTATACCACCTAACGCGAGAAAGAGATCGTAAACATCTGTGGTCAAAAACAGACAATCTCTTCATGTCTTCCGCTCTCAATGGCCACGTCTCACCACCATAGAGAAGGACGGAGCGAACTGCTGAGCAGTACACACGTCCCTTGGTTGATAGCCGGATGTCACACCTACGCCAGAGACGGTGTAAGTTAATGAAAGCAGCCCGAGCGTTTTGGATCCGTGCTGAGATTTCGTCATCAATCAATCCGTTGGTGCTGATACAACTTCCCAAATAGGTAAAGTGGTCAACATGTTCTATCACTTCACTCCTTATCACTAAGCTAGGAGTTGACGTAGTCCAGTCCTGTAGCAGCATCTCACATTTTACAGGGGCGAGTCGCATGCCAAACATACGAAGATTGCTGCTCAAGGTGTTCAGAAGACTCTGCATTTTGTCAGCGTCCTCCCCCAACAGGACTATGTCGTCTGCGTATTCTAAGTCTATAAGACTATTCCCTGGTAACAAGTCGATTGCTAAGTCGTTAAGTTCAGTTAAGGATACTTCCATTAGCATATCTATGATGAAGTTAAACAGAAATGAGGAAAGTGGACATCCTTGACGGACACCACTGGTTGTTATCAATTTAGATGACAATTCCCCATAAGCCCTTACACGGCTACGTGAGTTTGAGTAGAGTGCCTTGATTAGTGCAATGTACTTTCTTGGCACTCCCTTCACAGTCAAACATTGCCATAGTACCTCACGATCCACGGAGTCGAAGGCCGCTTTCAAGTCAGCAGTTAGTTGATTCCCCCGGACGATCGAAAAGCCAGAATCGCTGCGTCTTTGTTGTAGGAAAGAGGTGGCTCAGAGGTCCACTGAGAAAACTGTACATACCCAGTTACCTTGTAGCGAGTGGTAAGATCTGCACACCGGCGCAACTCCGAGAACTACTTCCATCAAGTCCCTGGGATACATGGTGACGCAACTATTCCTTCGATTCCAGGTATTTCAAGTAGAAGCCAATTTCTGCAGTGCAAGCGGCCAACCACACAGCTCTACTTTCTGTTAGCAAAGTGAGTTGGGAACTGGTCAGTTTACTGAGCAAGCTCTCACAGCAAGTGACTAAAACTTGCATAAGTTCTTCAGCGATGTACTTAAAATTCACTGGTACATTGCTAATTATTGGAATGAAAAAACGAAAAACCCAAAGATAATCGGCTGTTGCACTTGACAAAGGAACTTGAACTTATGAACTAGTTCCTTAACTTTCACAGAATGAGATATCATCTTGTCGATAGGTTTTCGACATAGAACTTTGCACATATGTGCGGCAGTTCAAGTCGCCACACTCCACGTAGCACACAAAGCAAGAGAAGATAGTAGTAGAAATGCATATTAGAGACAGTAAACAGAGGTGTGAGACAAAATGAATAGTAATAACGAAGAACAAAACAGTTTCATTGGAAATCATAAGTCACAAGGAGTGGATGCATCTGCGCCAGCCACTGAGAACGATTTTGAGCCATGTCACCAATTGTTTCCAACCATTGGTTTTTACCGTCCTGAGGACCCCAACCAGTCAGGAAGTTTACACCTTCCTACGTGGCTTAGACTAACTGTTGTAGATTTCATTGACTGGTGCCATGTTTTCGTTTGACCGCCGCTAGCTCCTTTCCAGCCTGGCCCTATATCAGCTAACATTGCCCATTGTCGAGGAAGGCGATGACTAGGCATACGTAACACATGTCCTAACCATCTCAGTCAATGTAATTTCACAGCCTCGTCGACTGATTTCCCCTCCTTACCTAGCACTCGACGCCTAACCTCAATATTGCTCACCTTATTGTACCACTTCACGCGGGAGATAGAGCGCAGACACCTATAATCGAAGACAGCTAATCTTTTCATGTCTTCTGCTCTCAATGGCCAAGTCTCACAGCCATAAAACAGGACGGAGCGGACTGTTGAGCAGTACACACGCCCTTTGGTCGATAGTCGGATATCATCTTGTGAGGTTGTTAACAACGTCTAATGAATATAATTGTGAAAACATGTCATGGTAAACAAAAATAGACACATGCTTGATAAAATTGATGTGACTAACTGTTTTGAACGTAGAACTTTGCAAAACAAACAGCGGTAGTTTAGGGTCCACACAAAGGTAGATGAAAATCTGAAGGGACAGTCATGGTGGCAATGTACAGGAGAAAGAATAAGCGCATGGAGTATAGTAAGAATTCAATGCATTTAGAAGTTCATAAAGAGTGAATGTACCTAAGCAATTGAGAACTACTTTAGGTTGTGTTGGCGACAGTCACCAACCATTGTTACTTAGCATACCAGGGTGCGCCAAGCCAGCCGGTTCACACCTGCTTATTTGGATCAAATCAACAGTCATAGACTTCATCGACTGATGCCACTTTTTCATTTGACCACTCCTAACTCTTCCCTAACTTATTCGTCTTAGCTAACTGCTCGATGAAGAAGACAACTGCTAGGTGTAACATCTCAATCGATGCAGCTTGACAACTTTACTGTTCTAGTTTCTTTTCTTCCCTAACATTGTGTCTGACCCAAATATTATTCACCAAATTATACCACTAAACGCGGAAGCTAAGACGCAGGAACCAAACGCCAGAGACAGCTCGCCTTCTCTTAACTTCCACTTTTAATGGCTCTCACATCCACAAAGACAATGGAGAGAAGTACTGAGTATTACACACATCCCTTGATTGACAGCTGAATATTAAGTCCAAGCCTGAGATGATGTAATCCGATACACTGATGTATAACTGATATTTAGAGCACTTAGATTGCCACTACTGAAACAGTTTAGTTCGAAGTTCTGAGAGAGGCACATTAATATGACATTGTTCCCAGGTAAAAATGACGAAAGCATGCCCCTGCAATGGAGTAACACACTTCACAAATCACGTATTTATGGGAGTTGTGTGGCAAGTTATTAACCGAAAACCCAAGTAAGGCATAATAAACCCATAATTGGCAGTTTTCCTCATTTAAATCCCTGCTTTTATTAGTGGTAAATGTTGAAACAAGAGGTAACATCAATTAAG